GGAGTAAACTTTGACTTTTTTTTTTCTTTGAATGTACTACCGTAATAAGTTTAAATATTTTCTCATATGTAACTACAATTTTTAGATTTATTTATTTATTTAAGAGGGCTTTTGAGCCAATTTAACCTAATTAAAGAATTTGTCAATGTTTAAGAAATAAGGAGTAGCGGAAAGTTTATTTTATTTATATATTTAATACTTCCCCTTATTTATATTATTTATCTATTTTATTTCTTACACAAAGTGTAATGTCATCAATATGTAGTGTTTTAGTATAATAATAATAATAATAATAATGTCTAGATATGATATTTGTGTCGTGGGGATAAATCATCATAATTTCTCCCTCCTTCCCGCTGTATCTCACGCAGAGCTAAGAATATTTTCACACTGGAGTTGGAGGAGGAACAACTCTTTTATTTTTTTGTTTTTTTCTTGTTAACTGTACAGATGGAAAGAAGATGTCAGCTGCAAGTTCTTAATTTAGTAATTGTTTCTGCCATGGGAGCGCAGTGGATCATTTCAGCAATATGCAGCCACARATATGTCCCCCAAAATAATGGTTCCCCACCAGAGGGCACACTGCAGAGGCTGAAAAATCGTGTATCTAAAAAGTCTGTATGAAATTAGATGTAGCATTGGATTATTTTAWKCTTTCTAAGTAAAAAGATGGTGGTGGCATTATACAAGCATAAACACGGTAAAYTTGGATTTTCTGCTCCCACAGCAGGACTGTGGAAGCTCGACTCTCACCCATGTCGTTGAGCCAGCAGGCGATCTTCCTGTACACCTCGTCACATGCAGTCACAGTGATGGCGAGCATGATTTTGGGGATGAAGCGAGCRAGCCGAGGCATTTCCTTGATCCCCATCACAAACTCCTGCAAAGACAACAAAAGCTGCTTTTTTTAATCCGTCGACCCCAACAAATAAGAGTTAGAACTGTATAAAATGACAGAACTTCAGATGAATACATTAATAATTGCTGACTGACCTGCAGCTCGAAGCAGATGAGCATGACCAGGAAGACAAAGCAGAGACACAGGATGCAGATGGGCAGGCTGACCAGCCACCTGAAAACACGCCGTCGCCACGGAGGATAGTAGAACTCCTCGCGTCCCGTTATCGGACTGCAGCGCTTGACTCCCTGCAGATAGAAGCTTAGAAATAAACTTTGTAGCCTTTCATTTCTTCTGGATGGCATTAATCTGGCCTCCAGTTCTAATGTAAAAAAAAACCCTTGGTGTTATTTTTAACCCCAACATTAAAAATGTTACCAGGACCGCCTTCTTCCACCTGCGTAATATCACTAAAATTAGAAACATCTTGTCCAAAAATGATGCAGAAAAACTGATTTTTGCATTTATCACGTCTAGACTGGATTACTGTAATTATTTCTTATCTGCTGTCCTTCTTACATTGATTGTTTTGTACAATGACRTTAGTTGTGACTTGGTGCTACAGTGGGTAAAATAAGTATTGAACACGTCACCATTTTTCTCAGTAAATATATTACTAGAGGTGCTAATGACATGAAATTTTCACCAGATGACGGTAACAACCCAAGTGATCCATACATACAAAGAAATCAAACCATAAATGTCCAGAAATGAAGTTATTTGTAATAATGTGGAATGGCAC